CCTCCATTCTAAGGGATCCCTACCTCTCTCCCTGAACACACCACCTCTGCCCGGTTCTATAAACAGGCAGCACATTTTCCCCTGTGGAGTATAAGGTCCAAATCATTACATTTTTCTGTGGCTATTTATCTACATTTCCCAAGAGATACCTATTTCAACACAAAACATGCTTTATTTACAAGGCTTTTATCTTGCACAGTGTATTTCAACCCAACTAGTCACTCAGGCTACCTGAGGTACAGGCTTCATGTTATTAAAAACTCAAAATTATTCCTTCCAGACAAACAGGCTGTGGGCTTTCATTCTGGCCGATACATTTATGCGGGAAGCAACTTCCGTGCAAGTGAAGAACCACAGTAGTTGACTGTAGTTATTATGCGCTGTTAACACATTTCTTTGTTGATGGAAAAGACTAAAACTATTGTCAAGCCTAGCATCTCAATGGTACTTATTATCAGATAAGAAACTGCAAAGAATTATAAATTCTATTCATTATTTGACCAGCTTTATGTAACCTGAATGTATTCCATAAATGCTAAGTAACAGATAAAGAAATTTTAATATTGAAAACCACTGTTCCATGAATTTTTAAGTTCACGTATTGACCATGTTATTTATACAACAAAAGTTCGATGTTTAAACACCCTTCTAAAGAAACGATCCTTAACCTGAATTTTTTTTTAAACATTACCAGGTTTTGGTGGGGGCCAGTTCTTGTGAGCCTATAGATGGACTTGTAAATTTTCATGTGCAAATATATTTCTGCTAATGCAGGGGGTGGGGAGACAGTCATTCTATAATGAGCTGCCCAGAGTCCATGACCCTAGAAATGCAATGCAACTCTTCCCAAAGGTTCACAAAGAATTTAAATAGAATCTGCTTAAGTTACACTCACACATTCAATACTTTTTGAAAAAGCAAAAGAGGTAAAAAACAAATCAGAGATAATCTGAAAAATGCAAGCCCTCTTTATGGTAACAATATCTTTTAAAACTATATAATCGCAGAGAATTTGGGGGCTTTTTTAGATTTTTTGTTTTTTTTTTTGGATCAAGGGTTAAGGACATAAGAATTCCCAGTTGCTGTCTTCATGCTAATGTGCATTTTAAGTAATAAATTATTAAGGACAAAGAAAAATAACAAGTGAAACTAAAACAACACTGTTGCTCAAAAGCTATGAGAACCCCTTTATCAGACTGTAGAAGATACAGCAGACTGGCAGACCATCTCAGACCTGTCCTCGTAAACACCAGACGAACAATGTTCGTGGGCCACAACTGCACCACCTTACACAACGTGAGACTAAGAGAGCACTGACAAAGGAGCCCTGCATCACATTTCCAAAAATGAAGTCCTGTCATTACGTGTCACAGAACACACACAGACCATAAAGCTGTGAAAATGAGAGTCTTCAGATGCAGCTGACGCTAAAAACGTAACTCTTTAGTCCAGAAGTGAAATCTTTTCTGAGGGAAATTCTCCAGTTCAGCAAGAACTTAGGAATTCGGAAGCTAAGAACTGTGTGTGTCCTCACAAGGCTGGAGTGCTCAAACTGTCACCCAGCTCAGGCTTAAATGCAACTAGTGACAGGCAACTACAGAATGTCAGACACCACAGACGAACCAAAAGTTCTGCCTCTCTCATCTGATGAGTGTAACACAGAAAAACTATCTGAGGTAGAAATATTTGTAAACTGCAATTTTTTAAAAAACTTTAAAAAATTGTAGATTTTTCTCCCCACTTTTTTTTTGTTTTCACTACCCTACAAATCACTAACAGGCAACTGACAAATTATGGTAGACCTTATCTTGAATTCACAGCAGCAAAATCCAAACTCAAAGCATAGTTCTCTACTTCATAACCTAATACGTGAGGAGTAAAAACCTTAATTTTAAAATTACCACATTCAGATACAGACATTCCATGCAAAGGATAAAGAGGGGGAAGCGTCAGTAGATGAACAAAATTAATGCTAAGGTTAATTAATGTTAAGGTTAATCTAGAACAGAGAAAAAAGTCACCGGTACAGAGAAATCATGAGCTGGATTTTAACAAAGAATCAGTGAGACTTCACTTAGCGCTCTTGTTCAAGAAAATGACCAAATCTAGGGAATAATCTTGGCAAAGAGAAAACAAATTTACTTTCCCTAATTAAATGGCTCCACGAGTAGATAGCCTCTCTACAGGGAAATCCACATTTATGCTTAACACAAATATATAATTTCTCTACATAGTATCATATACAAAAAAAGCAAAGCCTCAAAGACCTATTCTACCCTCTGAATTTCAAAGCATAATTTTTTCACAGATTTTTACACACACCTACATTTTTCCCCTTTATCTTTAAAACTTAACATACATACTTTCAAACCTTTTCTGCATCCTCAATATTTACATGTCTTGGCTCCCTCCCTCTAATATCTATATTCACAACTTTTTTTAACACTGTTAAACTATGATTTAACAATCTGTTTTCTTCCCTACTAAAAATGCTCAGGGCCACTTTTGTGTCATACTGTTCTTTTATTACAATCTTCTGGAGTTAAAAAGGATGCACCTAGAACCCGAAGATACTGGAATCTGATTTAAAACGAAACCTCGATAAATAATCTCTCTGGAATAATATTTGGGATGGCTAACCACATTTCCATAAAACATGTTCTAACTTCCATACTATTAAGTTTCTATTCTTGCATATGCCTCAAATTGAAGAAAATATTCAACCAATTTTCAAGTAAAACCTAGAAACATGAAACACTCAAGTTAAAAACACACAGACATAAAATTCCAGTCCCTAAACTGCAGGTTATACTACTGACATGAATATTTTATGAAATGTATTTAAAAGAAAAACCTGAAAAATGTGACTGGATATTAAGTGATATCTCCTTTCTTCAATTTTGTGATTAACAGGTCTTTTATTGGTAGTAAACTAGAGCAAACAATCAGAATAGTACATATGCAGTATTCAGTACACACAATAAAAGTTAAAGGAATTCAAAACCTGTATAAAACAAAACACTGGAGAAAAAAATCATACAGCTCAAGAGATACAGTGGGAAAGGTCCTCTCCATCCTGTGATTACAGCTTGTACTCTGTACCCAACAGAACTTATGCACTTACCAAAATAATACAGACTTTTTAGTACTGAGTGTATTTAAGAGGATTAAACACATTTTCTAAGAATCTTGCAATGACAAATAAAGTGACCCTTTCGCTGGTAATGCAGACCTTTAAAAGAGGAAAGTGGGGATAGGAAATTAACTATTTTGTAACCATTTTAAATAATTTCTCATTTTCCAAACACTGCTTTCATAACAGAAGTGTTTTACACTTGCACAATATTAATTACTTTATTATACATGGAAGCCTGTGGTAGGCTGATTACACAATAAGACTGCAAACAACCAGTGGTACTTTTCTGACGTCAGAAGAGTACATAAGACTGAAACATCACCAAAAGTACATAAAAACTCATCAGCATAAACATCAAAGTACATTAAAAATATAATCAGGAAAAAAATACAATTGCTAAAAAGTGGTTTAGAGCAGAGCCACTGTCTACCAGTGGCTTCAAATGGCAATTAGCGTTCAAAGCAAGTTTGGATGACTTTACAGGACCCTTCTACAATACTGACTAACGCACCCTTTTAACATGTACATTACACAGGCTGCAATTTCACAAAGAGGTGCTGATGTCGTTCGTTACTAAAGGAGATACTCTTAACCCTCACATCGGCTCTGTCACCAGTTGGAATTACCACCTTATTAATATCCACAGCTGAGTATGTGGGGCTTTATTATACATGGACATCTGTGTGGGTTGTTTTTTAAAAGGGGGGGAGGGGCATGTTTGACCTATTGTTTGGTGTTTGGATGCCATAAAGCATAGGAAATGCACGACAATTCATGCATTGGAATGTGAATCATTCTAAAATTGAAATGGTTCAGACAGGGAGAAGAGGGAACCAGGAAGGCCTAGAACTCTTTAAGAGAGGACAGGTTAAGAACCAAAATAACATAAACTCCCCCAGAAGTGTGGGTGACACATCTTAACAGAGACAGAGAACAATGTTTTTAGGCCATGTATAAATACCACACACCCCAAGCCTCAAAGAATTATGTAATTCCAACTTGGGTTCTAATACTGGAACCAACCAACCACGTGGGTTTTAACACTGTGCCCATCAGCTCTGGATGGAGTCACAGCCTTCTTACAGCTGGGGTAAGGAGAGGGTGCTTTTTTTTTTTTTTCCTTCTCTTATTAAAGCTATCATTCCAGGCTTTGATCAAAGATCCAAGAATATTTGTTCTACCAGGCTGGAATGAATGTGGTTTGGAAGATCAGAGGACATTTAAAAGCTGCAACAAAATATAGGTAGCCAACATCTCAGAATTTTGGATCAGCCCAGATGGAGACAGCAAATTGAAATGTTTTCGATCCCTTAAATGATGAAACGTATATCACATCAGCCCAGATAGAGCAATTTGAAATGTTTTCGATCCCTTACTTATGTGATGAAATGTATTATCATACTATCTGTAAATTGGATATTCCATTACAGTGATAACGTACAGAATTCCCATGCGTTATTACACTTTCCTGAGAGTAAAGCAATTAGAATAACCTTAATCCTAGCAACAAAGTTTTTTTTTTTGTGGATTTTTTTGTTTTGTTTTGGTTTTTTTGTACGATTTTTTTTTTTTTTTTTGCATTTAAAACTTTTGGGCTATTCCCTGACAATCTATACATGTAAATTTGATTGCTAAACATTGTCACTTCGAATGTCAAACTATTTTAATCTATTGATTTTGATTAAAAATCATAATACAAACAGAGCTAAAATCACGCTAACAAAATAAACTAAATATGAAAAGTTGCATTGAAAGGGCATTACATTATTCTTAATAGGATCGTGTAGAAACATTCCAATGGCAGTGTTCTCAAAATAAAACAAAATTACATTAGAAGACCTCCAGCCTGGTCACTCCTGGGACCTTACCTGTAACTCTGGCTGGTGGGGGTCTTTACTCTGGTACTACATGGCTCACTAACATCAGACATCATGTTTGTATACCCTGAGAAATCTGACACTGAAGTCCTTGCTCTATGGTCCACTTCTCCATTAGAGTTAGTGATAAAGGTCATTGGCACCCTGCTGCCCGACTTGAACTGAGAACCAAACGCTTGTGCGAAGTTCTCAATCTGGTATGTTGTTCTAGGCTCTACGTCTTTCTGAGGATCTATCTGGCTAGCTAACTCCTGAGATGGAATCTGAAAGCTTGTTGAGGACTCTAAGTTTTTCTGTTGTTCCTTCTGGCTAGTCAGTTTCTGAGATGAGGACTGGAAGGCTGACGACGTCTCTAAATTCTTCTGAGAATCTATCAGGTCGTCCAGCTCCTGGGAAGGTGTCAACTGCTGATGTGTGGCATCCAAAGCGGATAAATAAAGACCTGGCTGAGACCCAAACAACATCCCAAACGGAGGCTTTGGCAATGAAGATGGCAGCACTGAGGTAACAGACTGGCCGAAACCACACTCCAAAGGAGATGTAGTGTATATCTGTTTTTCTGGGAATAAAGTGTGGTTGTGGAGAGGTGAAGACAGGCTGACAAACTGGAAACCGTGTCCCAGAGTAAAACCTGCATTCGTGGATTTTTCAAAAGCCTGTTGGAGGTATTTGGAGTATTCTTGCAACATGGTCGCCTTGTCATTTGAAGGAGTTTGGGTGCCGGGGCTCAAATTTTCCTCTTGAACCAATTCCGAGTGTTCTCCTGAGGCGTGCAGATCCACTCGTGGTTCCGCTATGCTGAAGGGGTCCTCCTTCTGGCTCTCTGACTTGTTGGAGTACTGATCCAAAATACTCTGTAAGACCTCGTCAGGAATCCCTGACTTGTCATGACAAGACTTGATCTCCGCGCTCAGGGCGGAGGAGTCAACAAGCGACAGCGGGGCCTCACCGTCCAGAACGCCGACGCCCGCGGCCTGGATGACGGACTGCTGGGACACCATGTGCCCCACGTTCACGGAGAAGGCACTGTTGCTGCTGGCGGTGGGCAGGTATCTTCTTTTCTTTGAGAACTGCATGGCGTCGTCGTAATTACTGCTTATCTGACCTTGTTTGCCACCTGTACTCTGGAGGAGACTGATGGTCTCCACACTACTGTTTGACACCATGCCAAGGGAGCCGCTGGGTTTCCCGGACAAGGACTTCTGCCCAACCAGGTCCGGTAACGGTGACACAAAATTCAGGTAGTTTTTATCGGTACTCTTCCTGCTTCCTTTCTTGAAAATCAGTTTTGGCACTCTCTTCTGGAGTTCGTCTATGCCAGGGCCAACGATGCCTCCACTGGAAGACACAGTAGGCATCTCTACGGAGTAACTCTGCATGTTGATACTGTTGGACAGGTGGGGTTCATTCGCTTTCCCCGTCTTGGGCTCCTTGCTCTCAACGGCGAGGCTCTTGGACTTCGCTTTTCTCCTCGAAGAACTGGTATTTCCCTGAGACAACACAGCCAGGCTACCCACGCTGCCGTGGCTGCCGGAGGACCCAGGCTCCGCGCCGGGCGCCCCCTTGCCCAGGGCCTCCCCGCACGTGCGCCTGTGCTTCAGCAGCCGGTCAGTCCTGGAGAAGTACTGCTGGCAAGTGTCGCATCTGTATGGCTTTTCTCCGCTGTGCGTGCGCTTGTGCCTCTCCATGTGGTACTTCTGGATGAACTTCATGCTGCACTGGTCGCAGCCGAAGGGCTTCTCGCGGCTGTGGATCTTCTCGTGCCGCTGCAGCAGGTACTTCTGGATGAAGCCCATGCTGCACTGGCCGCACTGGAAGGGCCGCTCGCCCGTGTGGATGAGAACGTGCCGGCGCAGGTGGTAGGAGCTGCGGAATGCCGCGCTGCAGTGGTCGCAGACGTGGGGCTTCTGGCTCGGGGACAGCACGGCGCCCTCCCCGTCCCCCGCCGGCGGCGGCTTGGAAGAGGCGCCCGGCTTCCTCTTGGCTTTGATTCCCTGAGATTCTGGCTTTGGCCTCTTGGCCTTCTTGACGCTCGCGTCCGGCTTGGGCTCCTCGGGGCCGCGGGGGTCGTCAGTCCGGCCGAGCAGCACGTCGCGCGGGTGCGGGTGCGCCTGCGGGGCTGGCGGCGGCGGGTGCAGGGCGCTCAGGTCCTGGATGACGCCCGCGCCGCCCCCGTCCCCGCCGCCCAGCCCAGGCGCCCGCTCGTCGGCCCCCGCGAACAGCCCCCCGTAGTGGGGGTGGGGGGCGCCCGGCGGCTCGTCGGGGTCGGCCGGCTTCTCCTGCTTGATGCTGACCAGCGACTGCAGGAAGCCCCAGGAGGTCCTCTGCGCCGGGAAGGCCGCGCCGGGCGCCGCCGGCTCCTTCTTGAAAGTCACGTCCGGGGCGGGCGCCGGGGGGGGCTCGGCGGCCGGGGCCGCGGCCGGGGCGGCGGCCAGCACGCACTGCGGGGGAGGGGCGGCCGCGCCCGCCGGCCGCGCGAAGCTGGCGACCGGGGGCAGCCGGTGGTTGAACATCACCATGCCCGGCGGGAAGCTGGGCTCCATCTCCGCCCGCCCGCCGCTACCCGCGCCGCCGCCGCCGCCGCTCAGGAACGCGCTGCCGACTTTCATGCCCCGGAGCAGGCCTGGCTGAGGAGAGGAGAGAGGAGTGGGCCGGCCGCCGGCCGCGGCGCCCCCGCCCGCCCGCCGCCGCCCGCGCTCCCGGCCCGCGCCCGCCCGTCCGCCGCCGCCGCCGCCGCCCGCGCCCCGCACTTACGGGTCCCGCCGCCGCCGCCGCCGCCGCCGCCGCAGCCGTCGCCGCCTCCGGTTAATAAAAATAACGCCGTCCTCTCCACAATGGAATTAAAAGCCTGCGCGGCACTGCGCAGCCGCGGCGCGGAGCCTGCCGGGAGCTCGGCGACCCGGCCCGAGGGCCGCGGCGCCGGCCAACGCGCCTGCGCGGCGGCTTCCGCCCGGCCGCCTGTCAATCACACGGGCGGTTGGGCGGAGGGAGCCCCCCGGGAGGGGAGGCCCGGGGCGGCCGGGCGCGATTGGTGGGGCCGCGCGCGCCGGGCGGGCTGCGGGCGGTGCGGCCGCGCGGCGGCGGCGGCAGGCCGGAGGGGACGCGAGGCTGCGCACGGCGGGGTCGGCCTCTCCTGTCTACGGCTTGCGGGCCGGCTGTCGCAGCCGAATCCCTGCGCGGCCCCGGGGGAGACTCGGGGCGCTGTGGGTTCTGCCTGCCTTGCAGGGGGCGTCCAGTGCTCGGGGTCCGAGACGGGGCGCTTGGGGCGCCCATCCTGGGCAGGCACACTCTTTAATAATGGGTGCGGACCCTCTGCGTTTGTGGGAGGGGCCCGCTTTGAAACCGCAGCGGAGAGAGGTACCGTTGCAAAAAAGGGGGAAAAAAAAATTGTCTTACTGCCAACCTACCCGAAGGCCACGGGAAGCGGAGGCCGCGCGTAATGCAGGCGCGGCAACCCTGTACAACACGCCCACACACTCTTCATCATCAGGTGCTTTAAATGCCCGCATGCCTTCGCGGTCTGGCTACTGACTGCCGGCCCTGTTATGCTGCTGCCTGGCCTCTGTTATTCACGGAAAATGGACCGCCAGGCCCCTCGAACCGTCCTCCTCAGAGCCACTCTCCCTGCCCTAGTATAGGGTACTGAGAAACGCGGGCAAAATCACTATAATTTGTTTTCTTAAGAGAAAATCACAAAGCAAAACCATGAAATCAAAGATCAACAAAAATGGATAAATATATATTCATTGCCTAATGTACACACAAGGAAGGCACCCACTTTCTTGTTAAGCATGCGGAAACTTAAGCCAGCAGCTTTCCTAACCAAGACTGTATGTAAATCCCAGAGGTTTTTATTCATAGAAAAACCAGCCCTATGACAATAATTTCTTTCCATGGCACGTTTTCATAACGAAATTATAAGTCCATTGCTTCACAGTATTTCTAGCCAAGTAACTTCTCATGGTTAAATAAGAAATGACATCTCATTGAAATTTCCCAATTGGAAACTTAAAAATTATTAGTTTATCCTTATGGCATCCGGTCCCATTACTTCATGGCAAATGGAAGGGTAAAAGTGGAAACAGTGACAGATTTTATTTTCTTGGGCTTCAAAATCGCTGCAGATAGTGACTGCAACCATGAAATTAAAAGTTGCTTGCTACTTGGAAGGAAAGTTAGGACAAACCTAGACAGCGTGTTAAAAAGCAGAGACAACACTTTGCCAACAAAGGTCCATATGGTCAACGCTATGGTTTTCCCAGTAGTCATGTACAGATATGAGAGTTGGACCATAAAGAAGGCTGAGCACTGAAGAATTGATGCTTTTGAACTGTGGTTTTGGAGAAGACTCTACAGAGTCCCTTGGACAGCAAGGAGATCAAACCAGTCAATCCTAAAGGAAATCAACCCTGAATATTCTTTGGAAGGACTGGTGCTGAAGCTGAAGCTCCAATACTTTGGCCACCTGATGTGAAGAACGGACTCCTTAGCAGAAACCCTGATGCTGGGAAAGATTGAAGGCAGGAGAAGGGGACGACAGAGGATGAGATGTTTGGATGGCATCATTGAATCAATGGACCTGAGTTTGAGTGTACTCAAGGAGATAGTGAAAGACGGGGAAGCCTGGCATGCAGCAGTTCAGTTCAGTTCAGTTCAGTCGCTCAGTCGTGTCTGACTCTTTGCGACGCCATGGACTGCAGCACGCCAGGCCTCCGGGGTCACAAAGAGTCAGACACGACTGAGCGGCTCAACAACAACAAATGGCTGCTCTGAGCCTGCTCAAAAGCTTGTGCTCCATTGCTCAGTCACGTCCAACTCTTTATAATTCTTTGGACTGTGGCCGTCCATGGGATTTCCCAGGCAAGAATACTGGAGTGGGCTGCCATTTCCTCCTCCAGGGGATCTTCCCGACCCAGGAATCAAACTCATGTCTCCTGTGTTTCCTGCATTGCAGGCAGATTTTTTTTTTAACCTGCTGAGCCATCAGGGAAGCCCCTCAAAAACTTAAGAGACAGTATTTAATGGTATTTTGAGTAGAGAAATATTAGTATTTTTCTAACCTTGTGCAACTACATTGAAGTATTCTGCCACTCAAACTGCAACTTTGATACTGTCAGGTATAGTTAAGTGTTAAAAGAAAGACGGAAGGTTCACAAACTTCAGGCAGGAGTCTAGTATTAGTCAATGCCTATGAGAAATGAGGCCGTCCCTTTGCTCGGGGTGGCAGTGTTTAATGGTAAGCTGGGATGCATATAAGCTAGTCCAAGCATGAAGGGCAGCAGGACACTCATATGAAAAGCCAACTTTGTTCCTCAGTTATCAAGATAAGAAACCTGTCATTTCTCTCATTCACTCTGTCAGCCTTGAGATACTCCAAGCCGACTTACCTCTGTGTTGTACACCCCATATATCAGGAAGATGAAGAGACCCTGTAAAATAAAATGGAGGGAAAAAGCTGTTAACGCTAATCATTTCAGCAGTAGAAATACCTGAAATAAACTTTCCTGGGAACAGACAAAAGAAGACACACTTCATCAAGGTCAATTTATTTTTCTATTTTTCAACATTAGAAGCGGTACCTTGAGCATTTATAAGATAACATACCAACACATCACTTATAGTGCTTATGCTATTCAGTTTTCCTTAGAAATGAAAAAATAAAAATGCCATCCCAGGTACCTAGAATATTAATTAGAAAAATCAGTATACCAGTCTCTGAAAGACAGCTGGGTAATGAAAAACAAACTCAAAAGATGTCATCAAAGGGCTCAGAGAAATAGCAGTAAGCACCAGTATTTATAACCAATGTTTTAGACAACAGCAATTAGAATATATTTGTTACAGTCTTCAATGGGGTAAAAAAAAATTTTTAATAATAAAGTATAAAACAGCTGAAAAGATAGGGTGGTAAGTCTGAACAGTTTTTAAATATTTAAAATGCCACTTCAAGTTAAAATTTCACATTATCAGCTGTTGTGAAACTGCACACAATTTTATTGTATCCTATATGTAATAAAAGTTCCAAAGATCTGTATTTATTATTTCTTAGCATTAGAAAACACTTAATTGTAAGATATAAATTAGATCTGTCTCTTAAATCTAAAATTGCACAAGGAACTATATTCAATATCCCATGATAAACCACAATGGAAAAGAATACGAAAAAGAATATATATGTGTGTGTGTGTGTGTGTGTGTGTCTGTGTGTGTGTGTCTGTATAACTGAGTCACTTTACAGTAGAAATTAACACAACACTGTAAATCAACTATACTTCGGTAAAATAAACATTTTTTTAGATCTAGTATCGTACATTTTAAAAGTAAATAAAACTGATACGGCTTAAACTTAGTAGAAATAATATGGAGCAAGAAATTTCCCCTGCGTTTTTGCCTTACAGAGGAAATAAAAATCTATATCATATTAGTCTTGTTAGGTACTAATAAATCAAATACTAAATAGGTGTCTGGGGTAAAATCTGGACATGATTCAAATAAAGTAATATGGCATTTTCAAAAAGAAAATATTACAGGAAAATTTAAATATTTGTTTTACCTCTGAATACTTACATCTTACAGACTGTGGGAACCACCCTAGAACAAGGAGACTGAATAAAACAGAAATGAGTTTTGTTCTTTGTTCTTGTTCTCTTTTAGCAGACTTTATTTTTTAAAAGCAACTTTATATTTACAGAAAAATTCAGAAGATAGTACCGAGGGTTTGCTTGTATCTGCAGTCAGTTTCCTCTAGCGTCAACATTTCACGTTAGTATAGCACTTTTTTTACAATCAATCCTGTTGGTTTTCAATACCATTATCTATGTAATGCCAGAAACTAGAACAATTACAGTACTCGCACCCCATCTGTCAAGTTGCCTTTGTCAAGATATCCAGAGTGCGGACTGCATTCAAGCTGCTTAAGTAGCACTCATTTTCTAGGCTACTCGTACATATTCTAGATCATTCAAGGAAAAAGTGCTCCTTTCTCTGATTTATGAAAACGCTGTACGATAATGGACATCCCTCCTTCCTTTGTGAGTGTGCGTGTGCGTGTTCAGTCGTGTCTGGCTCTTTGCAACCTCCTGGACCCTAGCCAGTCAGGCCCCTCTGTCCATGGAAGTTTCCAGGCAAGAATACTGGAGCGGGTTGCCATGCCGTCCTCCAGGGGATCGTCCTGACCCAGGGGTGGAACCTGCGTCTCCTGCACTGGCAGACGGGTTCTTCACCGCCGCGACACCTGGGAAGTGCCAGCCTTCCTTTAGCAACCGCTGCTCCTTATTTCATGCTGTGTTCTATGGTTGTAAAGTTAAGAGTAGGTCATTCAAACTTTAATTCTGTTTGTGAGATAGGAGTATTTTGCTTTGTGAAATAGATAAGTTCTTTTTTTTTTAAGAATTTACCATTAACACAGCATTATATATGCTTAATTGCCAATCTATCAATCTGTCCATCCTCTATCACACATTAACCCGTCTTACTTTTTGGTACAGAAATCAGTGCACTCTCCCTAAAGTCAGTGTTGTTTACAGTCATACATGACTTCGTGACTAAATACAATTTCCTGTATACTGAATAATATGCACTATAATATCAATATATTAGGAAATTTAGC